ACAAGGGACACCGCACCACACTAAAAAGTCCAAAAAAGCTGTAGTCCTTTAGCGAAAGTCTACAGCTCATTCCAGAGTATTCTTTCTTTTCCCAATGGTTCCATTTACTGTGTCGAGTTTGAGTCTTAACGAGCCGATCTCAAATTTTAACGAGGTGAATTATAAAAAAATTATATGAGAAATTCTCTTTTCGAATCATATCGAGTCGAATCGAGTCGAGTCGAGCTCCATTAATTAACTAAATGAGCTTTAAATGAATTGGAACTCGATTCGTTAATGTCTCAAACTTTAGCCGAACTCAGGTCGAGTTAAGTCAAACTCGTATAATTTAACAACACGGAACTCTAAGCTAAATAATTATTCCATTGTGTACTTTTCTTATAAATTTAGGATTTGACAAGTAAGAAAAACTAACATTAATACTCCTAATTCACACAACATGCATGTCTGTACATCTTATGTATTCTATATTAATTTATTTTCAAGGAATCTTATGCAAAATTATTAATTCAACTCTCTCTTTCTCTCACTTTATATATATATCTTCAATTTCCAAGCCCTTTAGCTCATCTTTCACAAATTCAGAGTTCCAAAACAAAATAATTTTGAGAATCCCATTTTCTCTCACTACACCATAAGTCTCTCTCTACAAAATATGGCCGGACTGAAGCTTCTCCTCCTCCTAGCCCTGGTCGCCACCACCTGCACGGCGCAAGCACCGTCCGGAGCTCCCACGGTGTCCCCCGCTGCCACGCCGGCGCCTGTCCCGGTGGCGCCGCCCACCGCCACCCCACCTCCCTCGCCGGCTCCGACCACCGCCGCTCCGACCCCGGGCCCCATCGCCTCCCCCACCTCGTCGCCACCCGCCGGAGAGCCCGCAGCCGCGCCGGCTCCAGGCGCCAGTACCCCGACCGCCGCACCCGCCCCCGGCGCCGCTGGTCCCGGAGCCGCCACACCCTCTGAACAGACTCCGGCCGACGGCTCGAACGATGGGTTCGTGAGTAGGGCCGCCGTTGGCGGCACCGCCTTCGCGGCGGCGATCGTTGCGTTGGCGTTGATTTAGGGTGTCCACGTGGTTTGCGGTGTTGATGTACTTTATGTAATGGACGGTTAAGATTTGTGTATTTTTTT